GGTTTTAGCGCCCATACCGGACGGGGTATGAGGACGGCCTTGGAATCAAGTTATTAATGTTAATGGTTCACGTGTAGCGGGAACCCCCTATGGATCCCCATGGATACTAGTAGGCTAGTAAAAGAGGAAAATATGTGGTTTAATGATTGAAATGCAAAGGCATGGTAAGTATTATGTTATAAAGTCTATATGATTTCATGATAATGATAATGTTATTACTTTCATATGTTGTTTTCATGGATCTCACCAAGGTAAGTGGACAGTAAAGGTTTTTATGTTAATAAACGAGTTTGTTATAAATTATGCTCCATTGGTCATTTTTATTTTCTACCCACCTTTACTTCCGTGGCGGTGAGATAGTGTGATATCTTTACTGAGCTGGTGTAGCTCATTCCTTATTTAACCATTTCAGATCAGGAAGACGTTGTTCCTGAGCCCGTTCCGCAGGAAGACGGCGAAGGGGACGCCTAAAGACTTCATAGTTATATTTATAGTTCTTATTTCGAGTATCTCTTTTAGTTAGTTTGTTCCTTCATGTTTTGAGTACGTTTTGGTTATTGTGTAAAGGATGTTAATCAAAATTTTTATTACGCTTCCGCATTTGAGATTTTTAATACATACATTTCATTTAAATTTTCAGGGCCATTACATCATATGTAATTATGTTAATTATACGTATATCTCTAATTCTATTGTAAATAAGTATAAGAATATAATAATCTACTAATTTCATAGCAATATATTTAGTAGTAATTCTCTATTAATTTATATCTGAAATACTATTGAATTAATAAAAAAAAAATAGTTTTAAAAATACCAACTTCTAAAAATTCAAGTCTATATTACTAGAGCTAAGTAACAATAAGCATTGAAGTACCAAAGTTAAGGTCCTAATCCAAGAAGGTGACCATATATCACCTCCTAAAAGGATCTATTGATCATCTTTAATTCTCCGTAATAATTTTATTCCAACAACTCTCTCTCACCTAGGATACTAGTCATGTGTAATTCAATTTTATGTTGTTACAAACCTCGTTTATAATTCTGAATAGAGAAAACAAAAAAGATAACAGAAAAAAGAGAGATCAATTGTTTTAAGTCGATATATTTTTCGATGTTTCTGTTCATAAAAATCTTACTATTCATAGATTACATATGGTATGAAATAAAAGTGTATAACCTTTAGGGGTGCCCAGAGGTTGCAACAACGGAGCCAATAATTATACCAGACTGTTACAACTAGATCGGTTAAGGGTCTCGGTCACTCAACTTTTATGTTAAAACCCTAACTATATTGCAGTAGCTGCACAAAATAAATATTATTTTGCCATTATATAGCATTTTTTACCTGACATCTGTTTTCTCCCAAGTTGTGTCATTCTGAAGTCTATCTGTAACAGCCCCGCAAATTTAAAAAAAATGTATGTATTAAAAATTCTAAATGCGAAAACGAAATAAAAATTCTGATTAATATACCTTACACAATAATCAAAACGTATTAAACGTATAAAAGAATAAACTAACTGAAGTAAACACTAGTAATGAATGCTATAAATAAATCTATCAAATCCTTAGTCATCTACTC